ACACCTCTGGAGTGTCATAGGCTGGGAGGCCCTGAAAAAAAGAAGTTATTCTACATATATAGTTATTGTGCATGTATATCTTATATATAGTATTCTTGTGAACGAGCATAAGAAAATCATCAATGAATGTTTTTCATCTTGATTGAAAATACTGTGTGTACAGTATGTAGAGTCGTATGACAGTAGCTGTATGCGGCTTTCTTTCATCCTCCACAGTAAGCTGACAGAGCTTGGCAGCCACAAATATCCATCACAATAAAGCAAGCAGAGAAGCTGCCTACAGCAGTTCAACAGACTGCAATATTGTGTGGAAAAAGCAGTATATTTGCACTTCATCTGAACTTGTAGCGTCTAAATCTAGATATGACAAGCGCATTGTTATTATCTTGTTTTGTAACAAAAATTACTGAAATAATCTCACCTGGATATATGAAAGATACTGCTCCACACTGGAACAGTTTGGGATGCTGTAGCCTTGATAGAAATTAAATGCAGGTCCAAACATTTCCTCACTAAACCACACTTTGGCAAAGGTGTTGAGAAGGCGCTTGTCATAGTCATCAGTCACGCGGCCACCATATTGAATTTCTCCAATCATATATCGCATCGTACTCCATGACACACCCTATGGATAAGAGAAATGCAACCACACGTTAATTTCAGAATAATAGTAGACAAAAAAAAAGACAAAACCCAAATTTAGACAACAATGTTCAGTGTATGTAGTTTTTGTGACTGTATATATGTAATATATGTACAAATTAGGGGTTGTTCCAATCACTTGGCCACCAATCGTGATCGGATGATTTTCGTGGACAAGTATGTGATTGGTATTGACCACTTGAACAAATCAATACAACAAGAAGACACCTCCCTTTTCTGATCCAAAAACAAAAGCCATTGCAATAATCTCCGTTTGTAGACACTATTATTCACACAATAAATAGGTAACCGCTGAGCCCATTTGACCTTGATTGGCTGTCTCTACTGCAAACCAAAGCAGCAACAATGAAGCACAGTTGTGATTTGTCCCAAGGAACATCAAGACCAAGAGGAAAATATCAATATCTTAAAATCTAAAGAGCTAGAAACCATGTGAAAATGGCAACAGTGGCGGGAGCATTTGTGGTTGTATTATAATCCCTCGCTCTAATGCGGTTCACCTTCCGCGGCTTCGCTGTTTCACAGATTTTTTTAGTGCAGCTTTTCTAATGCTTTTAAACAGTGAATTGCGTTCTGCATCCTGATTGGCTAAGGCACTGACCAACGTGAACAGTCTCCGCACCTCGCCTTTGGACATACATACCCCACAATGTCGAAGAAACGTTCTGCACCGCCAAAGGCACCTGAGGACGCGCTCAAGCAATATTATTTTACAGTACAGTATTTCCAAAAACTATTATAGTTATTTGTTGAAAACATTTTTTTTTTTGTGCTTGGGCCTGAAAACAGGTTTTGGTCTTTGGTTTCATTGTACCGGTATACATAGTTCAGTATTGTATAATAACTGCAAAAAATAAGGCTCACTATTTCAGGGATTTCACCTATCACTGGTTCTTTTTGGAACGTAACCCCCGCGATAAACGAGGGATTACTGGATACACAATATCATTTGGGTAGCTTGTCTGTGAGGACTTGAGCTTTGAATCAGATGTTAATGGTTCGAGTCCCGCTGTTGTTCTTCTACCTGACTACTGTAGAGGTGCCCTAAAGAAAGGCACCAACCCCCTGACTATGACATCTCTTCTCATATGCCTGCATGTGCAAAAAAAATATATATATATACAGCACAGTGTATGTCAAATGTCACCTTGCAGTGTTATAATTCTTAAAATAAATGAAATATCAAAACAAATGTGAATTATTGACAGTAATAATACAGGGTATAATGTTGGTTTGTTGAGCTTGACCCGCATGACAAAAAAAGGGAGATGAGGCACTTAACAGCCATGGGGGCAGAGGTTGCTTTCTTCTCTTAGTCCAACTGCATGGGCAATTGGTGTCGATGTGCTGCTGCTCGCATGTGGAGGAACGCGTCCTCATTGGTGTCCGGATATTATTGTTCTCTGCTGATGCGTTGTTTTTTTTTTTTGCAATGTTGGAGGCAGCGGAACCAGCAAGTGATGGAGAATGTCATGCCATTCTGTATGAATGAGTGATAGAATATTTGAAGATGCTCTAAAACTGTTAAACATCATCAGGAGATGCTCCAGCCTGCTGTCACTCCCTGCAAATTACTTCAGCAAGAGGGCAAACTTGTAATTCTGACCAAAACTTTTCGTGACATGTTAAGTCAGAAAGTGCATAGTTCACTGTTTTAGATGGTTAGTCAGGCAAAAGCCCTCTTCATGGCCTTTTGGAGATGAGGGCCATGGTAGACTTTTGCTTTCATAGTTGTGCAGCATTGTCACTATCCAATCAGCTTTGGAAAAGGAGCCCAAACACTTTCCGCAGCAGCTCAGAAAAGCACAAATCTTTCCTCCACCTTGTTTGTTTTTCCATCACGGCTTATTCGGTGTTATTAGCCATTTGACCATTTTGTTCATCACATGACACTGAATATTGCAACCAATTGTAACTCGCAGACGATGCACTCGGCGAGGGCACCACTTGAGGGAATTTAGAAACCGACACGGTCAATCTCTGCCCTTCACTATCCTCTCCTCAGTGGTCACTGTTTTCCTACCTTTTTGACATCCATGTCGTCAAGGTGATTCTGAACAAACTGCACAGTGGCGTTAAAATCCGCTTGGTTAAACTCGTAGGGAATGTTCCATCCCAGGGGGCCATACTTTCTCCTTTCCTGCACAGTGCTATGAAGAAATGCAACGCCATACAGAAGTGGCTTCCACTGGGCCATGTTGCTGACATCCAAAAGGTCCTGGTTAATGCCTGGTGAGGGAAACATGGATACATGCATTAGCTCTTGGTGTAAAATTGGGCTTATGACACAAAGTATTCCAGCAGCAGAAAGCTTCTGTGTTACTACTGCGGATTTGGCCCGCAACTCAAAGGGGTTTACAAACTTCAATGCTATCCCACACAGTCCATGTGGATACAAGTGTAGATCATCATAAAATTGTCCAGGAAATAAAAGTGGTTTATTGAGTACTTCTGTGATCCAAAAGTCATAAAATAAGAACTGTTTTGTAGTCTGAAGGGAAAAATGTGGTTTAATATATTCTACATGTGTTTCAAATCTCATAAAGAATTGAAATCATCCACTGAAGCAAGGACTCAGGTGCCGAAGGTAAGTGCACGCCACAACTTTCAACTGTCCCTTGGGAACCTCATGTATCTCCTTCAGCTTGAGGCAGGCAGACACAGATGGTTTATACATAATAATATTTTTTTTCTCCCACTCCAAACAAAACAGCCACATGACTATTTAAAATTTCAAGAACCTTGCATACAGTTTAATGAATTTACCGGAACATTTTCTCTGTGCATCCTTCTGATGAAACATCCCCACACTTTCGATATGTGTTTGAGCAACAGGAAAGAAATGTTTATGTTGACAACTGACTTCCTTTTCAAAATCATCTATCAGATGCCTCTCTGATGATGAACTATGATATGTTTACATTTCTCTTTATTTCTGCCATATTATTCTTGGCAACGATCTCAGACCAAAGTAGTGAATTGACTGGGGTCGGGATGTTGGAGTCTTTTTTCCGAGCACAATCACATTTCTCCTGCTTTGGTTGGTAAATCCTGATTTTCAGTTTGTCTTAAAAAGACCAGACTTTTATGTTTTTGTATAGATTAAATTTGGTTTTGGCGGCCCAGTGGTTAGCCTGTTGACCTCACAATGCAGAGGTACGGGGTTCAATTCCAGCTGTTGCCTCCCTGTGTGGAGTTTGCATGTTCTCCCCGGGCCTGCGTGGATTTTCTCCGGGTACTCCAGTTTCCTCCCACATTCCAAAAACATGCATGGCAGGCTGACTAAACACTCTAAATCAGGCATGTCCAGCTCCGCGCCTGGAGGGCCACTGTCCTTCCTGTTTTCTATCTCTCCTGGCTGCAACACACCTGGTTCAGAGGATCAGCTCTGAAGCAGCACTGGAACGATCCTAATTATTAGAATCAGGTGTGGTGCTCTTCGGAGAACTGGAAAACAGGCAGGACAGCGGCTCTTGAGGATCAAGTTTGGACACCCCTGCACTAAATTGTCTAAATTGCAAATTTAGACAGGTGAGGCTGGATGGTTGTTCGTCTCTGTGTGCCCTGTTCAGGGTGCCCGGTTCAGGGTGTCCCCCGCCTACTGCCCAAAGACAGCCGGGATAGGCTCCAGCACCCCCCGCGTCCCTGGTGAGGATAAGAGGATCGGGAAATGGATGGATACATTTGGTTTTGTTCCCTCATGTGGCCTTTTTCTCCTCACCTGTTCTCGTCATGCGGGTCCCTTGTGTTTAACCAATCAGCTCCCTGAACCCTTTGTGTCTTGTCCAGGTGTTTCTCGTTGTCTCGTCACTTTGCTTGTATTTAGTTCCCTGGGTTCTGACAGTCTTCTTCAGATCATTGTGAGTGTCTGTGTACTCCTGTCATGTTTTGTTTCTGGCATAGGTTTTTGCTACTTTGGGTTCTTGTGATTTTCAGGACTTTGTATACTTGAGTTAGTTTTTTTTCCAGTGTACTCCTGTTTGTAATTTTTGTCAATACATTTTGTAGTGATGGGAATCTGAAGCCTCATGACGCAATGAGGCTTTCCATCCAACTGGGTCGGTCCTGGGCCGATGCATCATGAGGCTCCATTTGCTCTATTGCGCCATCATGTGGAAAATAAATGTCATGACACAGTGATTAAAATACCATGGATTTGATGGAGTCAAAAGGGCAGGGAGTTGTGATGTGAATGAATGTGCGTGTGTTACTTGAAAGAATGATTGCTTTATTTTAGACATTGACATAAACAAGGAACAAGATACACCTTTCATTCATTTTTATTGAGGAAAACAAGCATTTCCAAAGTGTTTGGCTTTAAACGGTTTCTTTTCTTCGATAGGATTTCTCCTGCTTTTGAAAATAGTCTTTCACAAGGGACGGATGAGGCTGGGGTACAGAGAAAGGTTATAGCTAATTTGTAGAGGTTGTACACTCGTTGCAACATGTGGAAGGTGCTGTTCCAGCGTGTCTCCACCTGAAAATAAAAGGTCATTATTGTTTGAAAGGGGAGTGGAAGCAGTTATGGATGTCAACTTACCTCTTGAATGAGCTTCAGCACAGGCGCTGTAGGCATCATTTGCTCCTGCACCTGTGTCAGCCTTGTCTATAAAAATTAAATATGAAACAAAACATTTTCCAAGTCATTTTGCATTAATTTGAATACTGCGCGGATTTTCTTCCAGTTTACTCGGCACACGCATCGGTACCTCGGCACAGTCGGGCACATCACTAACATTTTGTTCAGTCCACCCTGCTCCTCCTGCCTCCCTACTGTTTGGAGTCCTCCACCTACCGTCTTGTAAAACATGACACAGTCTCCAAATTAAATTGGAAATGCACATGTCACGTTTAAGACATGCCATTAAATCCCATGAGATTGTTGTGGTACCTTGATTTTTGTGATTCATTTAATCTGCGACCAATCTTGTTTTTTTAATTGTATATCCACTCACTTTAAATTTTCCCTATTGAAATGAACTGAAATGGCATTCAACCATTCCAGCGCACCCCCACAAAATCACACATTTTTTTTATATAAAGACTTATAAAGCACAATACAAAAAAAAAAAAAATCAAAATAAACAGGTTTTAGGTTTTATGGTTTTGTGTCATGATGGCACATTGGGACAAGTTGAAAGTCACAACTGTTATGTTGCATGTGTGTCTTTAACGTGCTTGGCTAAGTGAGCGACAATTACAAAAGTCATTCAACATGGACATTTTGGGATGAACCCCTTTCATCTTTATTGAACATGCTCGCACATTTAGACTTCCAACTTTGTGGGAACAGTTTGGGGAGGAAGTTTACTGTGCCCCAGAGCATAAAGCAACGTTCATAACAACACACTAGGATAAGTTTATTGTGGAAGAGCTCTGACTTCAAAGAGTTGTAATTTGTTCCAATTTTAGTTCTTATTGTTGCCATTACCATGTGTTTCGATAACTTTTTCCATATGGTGCATTCTTCTACTCATGTTTTAATGAGTTATGTTCCTATAATGTTTCTGACTGGAAAAGAGTCACACTACTGTACCTCCATAGGTCCTTTTAAGGCCTGCCTTCAACCCCTGTGGTGGCTCATTTGTAAACTTGATCGACATTTGGAGAAGGGTAATAGGGAAGTGTCTGTGGACCTCAGTGGTCATCCATAGGCGGAAACCGTCATGAACGAAGTCCGTCTCCGTGATTATGTCCATTAGCTCATCCATGAAATCCAGACCAAGGTGGCAGTTCTGCAGTAAGGCCCACCCGCCCTGCAGACAATGAATATTGACTCGCTGAGAATATATATACTGTAAGATGTAACCAAGAGTCCAAACGACATGCGTTGAGAGAACATTTTGTATAATGGCAGAGCTGAAAGAGGAATATATTCTGAACAAATAGCATAGTTGCACCTTTTATAATTCACTTACATTAGCGATGTTCTGCTGCAGAAGTTTACGGGCATGGACCTCTTGTCCTTGTCCCATAGACACATATCTGGTCTCAATCTTTAGTCGCTTTCCCAAAGCAATGATGGTATCCGTTGGGTCGGAACCCATTGACAAGAAACAGATGAGAGGCGTTCGTGAGTCGGACTCCTCCCAAGTCTGTTCCAAGTCAAGAATGGCCCCTTCAGTGTACTTCTCTCCCATTGCATCCATTATGTATTTACGGGCCTGTTGCAGAGGATCAAAGAGATGTGAGATAAATGAAGCAATGATCATTTCGAAAAAGCAACTTTCTTTCCTGTAATTTCTGCAAGGCAGATTATTGAATAAGAGGATCAAAGATTCTTTCTGTCCTTTTGAGTCAGGAATAAACCTTGCTTTAAATGATCAGAAAAGGACAGCTGCACTATTGTTTGTGAGTGCACCAAAAACTCCACTTCAGGCTTCAAAGCACCATGCAACAAAACAGTCCATCAGGAGAAAACTAAATGTCCATTAGCCACGACAGCTACTGGAGCTCAGAAAGCCGGTGAAATACAAATGCATCATTAAATACTCTATTTGCCTGTCTTGATTAATTGAAAGGCTCTGACCTGGGGAGATATTAATATGAATTATGAGCTTTTTAGATGAAAGTAAAAAAGAAACAAAAAACAAACTATTTTTTAAAAATTCAATTTCCAACTCTGGGCTGCATTTTAAATTAACCATCTGCCATTTCTATGTTATTTCTTTCACAGGGAGCCATCTGTCTACCACGGCTGGACTGGTAATCAAGCGCAATGGGCAATTTCCCGGTGGGCACGCAGTCCTCTGGGGCCGATGGTGGTGGTGGTTGTTTTTGTTTTCTAAAACATCAGCAAAAAATGGAGAAGGGGTAGCTTATTACACCATCTTCTATTCGCTTTATGGGGACCATCACGTGACTGAACCCAGAAAACATGTTAGCTGACTTTCAGTGTGGTTAGCTATAACTAAACGATGCTCGGATGACATTATGTTTGAACTCAAACTTGCGAGAATATTGTTTCCTTCACCGATGGTGTCTATGGACAAACAAACAAAAAAAATGTTCCCGATGTAATGTTCCTTACATGCACTTTGTCGCAAGCTTCTGCTACAGGGCTCCACCAGTTACCTGAACTGGAATTGCTTCGTCCTATTTTGCCGAATGTAGAAGTTGGTTGCACAAAACATATGTTCCATGGGTCTCCAACCTTGTTCTCTACTTCTTGGATACAGATTAATATACAGTTTATGTACTTCAATAACTATCATGAAAGGTTGGTCTGAGCAAAAACTACCAGGGACCAGATTGCAAGAATTGTTTTTAGGCTATTTAAAGTGACACACCATCAAGTATAGCCCCGATCCAAGCGTACAATTTCAGTCGACTAATGTAATTTCTAACCTGTGCAATGGTTCGGTCGGGACACCAGCAGCGAATAAGAAGCAGGCGCCGAAAACAGTCTAGTGCCTGATCGTAGGAGTTTGGGACCTTTTCCTCCTCTGGTGCTTCCTTATCAAACCACACCTTCCATTGCTTCTCATTGCGACTTATCTGTGAGGAAAAGGTTCAAAGAGAAATGAAAAATACTAAACATTTTACACATTTCAGTTGTTGATTAAGCTTAAACGATATCCTAAAAACAAAGAGAGGAGCTTTCTTCAGTTTTTAAATGATGAAATATATTCCAAATGCACCCCTCAAAACACATCACTAATTGTCCAAATTGCTCTAATGTGTTTTGGGAACATAATGAACAGCCTTTCTGCACCAATCTTCAACATTTTCTGCTACTACTGTGTTGGCACTATCCCTGCTTCTGTTTTCACTGTATACCGTCACAAAATCCTCTCTTTGAATCAATATTATTTACATGTATATGTACAGTGGTACCTTGACTATATACTTAAATTGAATTTGTATCATTTAATTTAATTTCTTTTTATTTCCTCAATTTATATCGAATACCAAAAAAAACGTTTTTGTTAAATTATTTAACAGTATTTTTCAGTCACACTGTTAGATATCTAAGACAGGCACGGCAACACGATATATATATATATATATATATATATATATATATATATATATA